CTGTGCAGAAGCTTTTTTGTTTGATGCAGTCACATTTGTCTATTTTTCTTTTGTTGCCTGTGCTTTTGGTTACTATCCAAAAAGTTATTGCCCAGACCATTGTTAAGAAGCTGTTTTCCTATGTTTTCTTGTAGTAGTTTTACAGTTTCAGGTCTCACATTTAAGTCATTAATCCATTTTGAGCTGATTTTTGTATATGGTGTGAGAAAAGGGTCCAGTTTCATTCTTCTGCATGTGGATATACAGTTTTCCCAACACCGTTTATTGAAGAGACTATCCTTTCCCCACTGTGTGTTCTTGGCACCTTTGTCAAAGATCAGTTGAACATAAATCAGTGGATTTATTTCTGGGCTCTATATTCTGTTCCATTGGTCTATATATCTTTATGCTAGTACCATACTATTTTGATTACTATAACTTTGTAATACATTTTGAAATCAGTCAGTGTGATGCCTTCAGCATTGTTCTTGTTACTCAAGATTGCTTTAAGGTCTTTGTGGTACCATGTGAATTTAGGATTGTTCTAGTTCTGTGAAAAATGCCACTGGAATTTTGATAGGGATTACACTGAATGATATGGATAGAATGGACATTTTAGCAATGTTAATTCTTCCAATCCATGAATACAGCTTATCTCTCCATTTGTTTGTGTCTTCTTTAATTTCTTTCATCAGTGTTTTTGTCGTTTTCATTGTATAGTTCTTCCTTCTCCTTGGTAAAATTTATTCCAAAGTTTAAAAAATATTTATTTATTTATTTTTTATTTATTTATTTTGGCTACACTGGGTCTTAGTTGCAGCATGCGGGATCGTCATTGCGGCATGCAGGATCTTTAGTTGTGGCGCGTGGACTTCTTAGTTGCAGCATGTGAACTTTTAGTTGCGGCATGCATGCGGGATCTAGTTCCCTGACCAGGGATCAGACCTGGGCCCCCTGCATTGGGAGTGCAGAGTCTTATCTGCTGGACTACCAGGGAGGTTCCTGTTGTTTTTTTTATGCTATTGAAAATAGAATTGTTTTCTTTATTTCTCTTTCAGATATTTCGTTATTGTATAAGAAATGCCACTAATTTTTGTATGTTGATTTTGTCTTGCAACTTTACTGAATTTGTTTATTAGGTTTTAAAAAATATTTATTTATTTATTTGGTTGTGCCAGGTCTTAGTTGCGGCTGGTGGGCTCCTTAGTTGTGGCATGGGAACTCTTTAGTTGTGGCATGCTTGTGGGGTCTAGTTCCCTGACCACGGTTTGAACCCGGGCCTCCTGCATTGGAAGTGCGGAGTCTTAACCACTGCACCACCAGGGAAGTCCCATGAATTTATTAGTTTTAATAGTTTCTTGGAGGAGTCTTTAGTGTTTTCTATATATAACATCATGTCATCTCTGAACAGAGACAATTTTACTTTTCCCTTTCCAATTTGGATACCTGTTATTTCTTTTTCTTGTCTGATTGCTCTGGCTAGAACTTCTAGTACTGTGTTGAATAGTGAGAGTAGGCATCCTTGCCTTGTTCCTGATCTTAGGGGGAAAGTTTACACCTTTTCACTGTTGAGTATGATGTTAGCTGTGGACTTGTCATATTACAGCCTGTATCATGCTGAGGTACATTCCTTCCATACCTGATCTGTTGAGCGTCTTTATCATGAAAGGATGTTGTATTTGTCAAATGCCTTTTCTGCATTTACCGAGATAATCATAGGATTTTTTCCTTCACTTTGTTAATGTGGTGTATCACATTTATTGATTTACGTATGTTGAACCATCCTTGCATCCCAGGGATAAATTTTACTTGATCATGGTGTATGAGGCTTTTAATGTGCTGTTGAATTTGGTTTGCTAGTATTTTGTTGAGGATTTTTGCATCTTTGTTCATCAGGGATATTGGCTTGTAATTTTCTTTTCTTGTAGTGTCCTTATAGGCTTGGTATCAGGATGATTCTGGCCTTGTAGAATAAGTTTGGAAGTGTTCCCTCCTCTTCAATTTTTTGGAAGAGTTTGAGAAACACTGGTGTTAATTTTTCCTTAACTGTTTGAATACTGATTCAGTCTCCTTATTCAGCTTTTCTGTTTCTTCAGATTGAGTCTTGGTAAGTTATATGTTTCTAGGAATTTGTCCATTTCTTCTAGGTACTCCAACCTGCGTTTAATATTATATTGTTACTACTTTGCAATATTAGGGGATAGTGGTGTGAAAATGGCTTTCACGTCAGATCTGTGTTGAAATCCCAGCTTTACCACTTAGAGTGTCCATAGTCTTGGGTAGCGTTTCATCTCTGAACTTGTGTCTTCATCCCTGTCATGGGGATACTGCTTTTAACCACACTGGGCTGAGTGAGGATTAGACATCATAGGAAAGCCCTTGGCACATAACCCAGTTCTTGGTAAGTGCTGAAAACAGGGAGTTGTGATGCTGTTGTGATTGTTTAAAATATTCAAAAACATGTTTTTAATGGCATTGTATTATCAAGTGAAATGCTATACAAAAGTGAAAAAAAAACAGTAAAGGAATAGAGTTTGTATGGAAAAAAATCACTGTTATAAGGTTACAATTGAAACATTTTCCCCCCAAAACCTAGAAAATAGACACTGTGGTGGACTATGTGAATATAAAAATCGATTAACAGGCTTCCATTTTTGCTACACAGCATCTAAATGCGTGATAAATTAGAACAAACATACTTTTCAAAATTTAAACTTATTGAAGTATAATATACACGCTAAAGAAAATACTCATCGTAAGCATACAACTCAATGAATTTCCACTGTGTAAGAATACTTGTGCAGCCAGCAACAATGTTACCAAGCTTTTCCAGAAGCTCCTAAAGGCCGCATCCCCCCAGTGACTGGAAAGCCTCTCCCTACCAAGAATAACCAACCACCGTCCTGAGCTCTATTGCCTTTAGCGGATTTCCCCCAACGTTTGAATTTGAATTTGTTATACCTATGGGGCATATGGCTTGTTTTGCTTAGTGTTATGTCTGTGAGATCCATCCACGTTGCATGGGGCAGGAATTTTTTCATTTTCCTTCATTGTCCCTCTGTAGCCCTTCTCATCTATGGATTTTGCCGGAGTATTAAGCCCTAAAGTCCAAAGTGATCCATCATATGTAGCTGAATTAATTTCTGTCCTGTGAGTCTAGGATGGTAGTAGCCTTGTAATACCTTCGGGAGAACTGAGAAGATGCCCGCTCAAATCATGTTCCGTGGAGGTTCATCTCTCTTAGAGTCCCAGGAAAGACTGGGAGCTTTAGCTTTTCTGGTTTTTTGTCCCCCCGCACCGCCCCACCCCCCACCCCGGTACAGTGAGGTCGGGCCTCTCACTGTTGTGGCCTCTCCTGTTGCGGACGCGCAGGCTCAGCGGCCATGGCTCACGGGCCCAGCCGCTCCGTGGCATGTGGGATCTTCCCAGACCGGGGCAGGAACCGGCGGACTCTCAACCACTGCACCACCAGGGAAGCCCAGCTTTTCTGGTTTTTGTGGTCTAGCAGCTCTCCAGTGTCTTCTAGCGGATGACTTCTGGAAGATAGCAGTTAAGTTATCTTATCTGGCTTTTTTTTTTTTTTTTCTCCCGGGGAGTGCTGGTTAGCTGCAAGCTCCTCCATCCCACCTGGAGGTGGAAGTCTAGCAAATGCATAGCTGGGCTCCTAGAAAGAGGAGGGAAAGTCCCAGGGCCAGATAAAGGGGAGAGGGAGAAGAAGGAGCTGAAACCCCAGAGGCAAAATAACACAAGCCAGGGCTGCCCCAAGGCGTAGAAATCTGGACCCAGAGCCTTGGATTTTGAGCAGCCGGTGAGGGAGAGCAGGAGCCAAAGCCCTAGACCCAGGCCTGGAGGGCCGCCGGGACTGTGCCCCTCTGCTCGGCTGGTAACAGCAGCCTCTCCAAAGCTCTGTTCCTCGAGTGAAAGAGTGGGCTAGGAAATAGAGCCCTCCTAACGGCAGTAAAACGTGTCTTAGCTATGGGAGGAGTCAGTTTGATTTTTCTGCTGAAGATCTGATCCTTAGCCTCTCATCACAGGCGTTTGGTGTTTGCAATTAGACTACCTCTGAAGTCCAGAAGCTCCAAGTCTAGAAATAAAAAGTTACCCCTCACACAAAGAAACAAACTGCTAGGAAAGTCAGCAGAGATGACCAAGAACAGAATTAGGGGTTTCAGAGCTCCTCAATATGTTGTAAGAGAGCTATATTTAAAATGAAAGAAACAACGGATAGAGTTCTAAAACATGAGCAAGAAACAAACACTACCATTAATGGCTCTGCGGATTTGAGGAAGAACCAAATCCGAGCTTTAGAAAAGTGCTTAGCATAATGCCTTGCATTCAGGAGCTACTTAATAACTGTGCACATTTGGGCAAATAATTCTCAGTATAAAACTCATGACTGCACAATGTGAAGCGTCTTTGTGGAACCTCAACTTAGAAGTACTCACTAATATCATTGCTCCGTTGGCCCTAAAATTTGTTGACTGAGTTGACATTGGAATCACCATTTTGAGATAGGTTCAAGTAACATTCAGATATTCCTGTTGTCCTGCAGTGGGAGGAGCCGGTTACACTAAAACGCCTAAGAAGGTTTATATAAATGAGTGTATTCTTGGAGCAGCTTTGGCCTCTTCTCCCCCGCCTCCATGTTTTGAGTGCCTACTGGATGCCAGGCCTTGTACTTGAAGGGAGCATGGGAGGATGACTAAAACACTGTTCCTCCTTTCCTGGAATCCACATTCCACAGGCCATCGAGTCTGCCCCCGGGACCCTTACAAATACACTGGAATGAATTGAATCTATTGTGCGTTTCCTTCTGCAAAATTGTTGCTATATTATGCGTATCTGATGAGTCTTCTTCAGCTTTTGGAGCAAGAACACAGCTGTCTGTATTACTGAATATATAGAAACGTTGGTTAGGTAGCAGGGAACTAGGTAACCATAGTTTTCCAAGCAAATGAATAGGTTAACTAATCAAGTTAACTTCTCCGTGTTACTAATTCCACCACTGCAAATCCTTTTAGGATGATGTGAGGCATAAGGTTCATCTGAACACCTTTGGATTCTTCAAGAATGGGTACATGATGGTGAATGTCAGTAGCCTTTCAGTGAATGAGCCTGAAGGAGCCACAGACAAGGACGCAACTGTAAGTGCCTTTCCAGGACATCTTTTCTGTTGCTTAGGTGAAAGCTTCACCCCATACTTAAATATGAAGTATCAGAATGTAGAGAAAATTAAACTTGTGAGCGGGCGTCAGATAGTTTTATTCTTAACAGTTAAGTTGTAATTCTTGAATAATTTTAGTAACAACTGATCCTTCTTACAAAATGAATGCTAAGGAAACCAAGAGGTGGCCAGGCCAAAAGAGTCACCTTTCTGCTCTTGGAGTAATGAAGGTAAGGGCGCCCGGGCATCATGTGGTTCTTTACTTCCATTGTTTTTACCTCCTCTTAGATTGGATTCAGCCTAGACCGCACAAAGAATGATGGATTTTCTTCTTATCTGGTGAGCATCAAATGCATGACCTGATCACTCCCTTCACTCGAACCCAAGACGCTGGGCTGGGTGGAAACACCCTGCTTCCGTCAGTGCTGTTTTCTTGAGGTGGTAGCAGCTTTGACTTGCAAGCATCTCTGAGCACCCACAGTTGTGTTATTTGAATGGAGTCTGGGCCACTTATTTGCTTAGTTCCTGAAAACGTTTTGTTCTTACTCCAGTGTGAATGAATAAGGTGGTGTGTAATTGGGTCTTCCTTTCTCAGGATGAAGATGTGAATTACTGTATTTTAAAGAAACAGTCTGCCTCTGTCACCCTTCTAATCCTAGACATCTCCAGAAGTGAGTAAGTAATTCTACTAATCCTTCAGTTCAATCCTAGAGTAAAGTTAGGGGGAATTTGGTAGTTAAGTTACCATTTATTGTCTGCTACATGCCAAATATTTTGCTGAGTGCTGGAGATTAAAAACAAGATGAGGAAGACAGAGGTCCAGTCCTGGAGAAGCTTCTTGATGGATGAGGGAGACAGAAGAGCAATACAAACGACCACAGCAAACTAGAGAAGTAGTAGAGCAGAGAGACTGAGGATTGCAGAAGAGAAGGGAAAGCTTCAGAGAAGTGTTGGTGCGACCACCCTTCTCATGAATAGACTTTACAGATGAGTAAGAAAGGGAAGAGCATTTTAGGCAAAGGGAACGTGATATACAAACGCAGAGTGGTGTGAAATAACATGGTGTGTTCAGTGAAGTGAATGCGTTGTCTGCATCCAGCTAAGGGGAAGAGAGGAAGGCTCCTCCCCGTTCAGTGCTAGACATGGGCCCCTTGGTACGAGTGATGGTGCCAGCTGAGGTTGCGTGTCCACTCAGGCATGGAAACTTGCTGGTTCCTCCTCAGGCGGGATGGGGCAAACAAAATTGCGGTCTGGTAAGCAGGGAGAAGGGAGGAAATGCATATTAGGCGGGCTACTAATAATGCTCACTGCCCCTCGCGTGCTCCCCACGGCTTCACCTTAACATCTTACTGGGGTTTTTTTTACCTCTTGTTCCTTTTCCCTTGTACACCAATTTGTTGAACACATTGCACATACTTAGGGGGGAATGTGTACCTCAGAATTGTATGGTTGCTACGAACTTAAGCTTTAGAGTGAGACTGCCCAGGTCCTCACCCAGCTGCTCACTGGCTTACTACTCTTGGGCAGGTTCTTTAACCTTTCTGAGCTTTCATTTCAACACCTGTAAAATGCGGATAATAGAATCTGCATCATAGGACATCATGGGACTGCATGAGATGATGGATTTAGAGCTGGAAATAACACCTAACTTACAACACTTACTGGCCATAAGCAGTACTTTGAACTCTTTTTCTTCTGTCTTGTTTGAATACAGAGTGCGAATAAGATCTCCACCAGAAGCTGGTACCCAGTTACCAAAGATCATCTTCAGCAAGGATGAGAAAGTCCTTGGTCAGAGCCAGGAGCCTGGTGTTAACGCTGTTTCAGCAGGGAGCCAGACTCAGAAAAAACAAGGTAAACTGTGAGGTAGAAGCGAGCATTTTCTTCACTACCCTGATCTGTAGATTCTGTTTTGTTCCTGAGTAAAAACACATACAATCTTAGCATTATTTTATTTTTGAGGTGATATAAAAATATGTAACAAAGAAAAATGTGGAAAATATGGGAGAAGAAATGTCATTTCTCCTTACTCCCTGTGTTAGAATTTTAGTAATTTATATTTCCTTCTAAACTTGTTTCCTAAGTCTAGAATATTTGATTTTTAAAACTCATACACGTTTATAATTTTATAAGCATCCCTGTTCACTCAACTTTAAGTTATTTCATACTTATCAGATATCCCATTAAATGGATACTGTAATTTGCTCAGCCTTTCCCCTTAAAGAGACATATTTCAACCTTGATGCTATTATATTAAAACATTGCTACATCAGACATTGTTATTTGTAGATTTTTTTTCATATGTAGAACTTTCTTTAGGATAGGTTCCCAGAATTGGAATTTCTGGTTCAAAGGATATGAATACTTTTGAGAATATTGATACATATTTTCATTCCTCTCCACATGAGTGGTGTGAATTTATACTCCTATTGGGAAATATATAAGAATAGTGCCCACGTCACCATGTCCTAGACAATACTGGGTTTTTGGTTTTGTTTTGTTTTTTAAATTCTAAAGTGAAAGGCAAAAAGGTATTCTTGATTTTGAAGTCACTTTTTTTTTTTTTAATTAATTAATTTTTGGCTGTGTTGGGTCTTCGTTTCTGTGTGAGGGCTTTCTCTAGTTGTGGCAAGCGGGGACCATTCTTCATCGCGGTGCACAGGCCTCTCACTGTCGCGGCCTCTCTTGTTGCAGAGCACAGGCCCCAGACGCGCAGGCTCAGTAGTTGTGGCTCACGGGCCTAGTTGCTCCGCGGCATGTGGGATCCTCCCAGACCAGGGCTCGAACCCGTGTCCCCTGCATTGGCAGGCAGATTCTCAACCACTGCGCCACCAGGGAAGCCCTGAAGTCACTCTTATTACTGAGGCTGCTCTTTTCCTCCATATGTTGATTAACCAATTTATATTTGTCACCTCTTTCATTAACCGTTAGGTTTATCTAATAATTTATATGAGTGCTTTAAAGATAACTATTTATTGTATTATTTATGTGTCTTTTTCTCGGTTTGTCAAAATTCTGACCCAGATTAAAAGATGTGCAGAAATGTTACATTTGTGTGATGATGTAGTTTCACGTATGTGCACCATCTCCTCCTCGTCCAGGTTCCTCAGGCTCACATAACCATTCCCTGGGCAGAAAATCTTCTTTTCCTTCTTTTTTTTCTGAAACTCTCTCCCTTCCTGCAGGGAATTTGAGATGCTGTCTTCCTCATGAAGAGGGTCTTAAGTAAAAATAAGACACAGCTGCCCTCTCTGTTCATTGAAAGAAGTCATTAGCAATTTCTACACTCCTTGCTGTGGAAATAAAAATAGTATGCTTTATGCTAATATTATTTCCTATTTTTCCATGTATATAAATAAATCTTATATATTATATATGTATTTTAAACAATGATCTGTTTTCAAATGTAATTACTTAGAAGATAAGGAAGTCATTCCACGTGGTATCTCTGACAGTAACATGCACTAGGTTATTTAGAGATGATTTCCCTCGTCTGTACTGAATATTCTCATTTATTAGATTGCATTTATAATAGAACAGGTTGCCATTTGCGGCTTCTACAGCTCAGGAGTGTTTGGGGTTCTAAGCAGATGGCATTTCACAAGATGGCACGTGGCCTCACCGTTTTGATTGTTGCAATTATTTGATATTAGACGAGCTAGAGTCTCATAAAATGATACTGTAATATACATATGAGCTGAATCATGCAATAATAACTCTTAAATGGTTCTGCTTCTAGACAGTGGAAAGTCTGAAAGAAGTACAGTGGATTCAAAGGTAAGAAATAACCTGACTTAAGCTCTCAGCTTTCCTGGGTGTAATATGTATGTCTGTGTATGTGTGTGCATATAGGAATGTATATACATATGTATATATGTACACACACAGGTGCGCACACATACATCTGCATGCCTGATCTACAGGGGGTTGCTTTCTGTTTGGGGAGATAACTCAGGCACTCGGAAACAATTTCAAAGTAAGACTGAGTGCTGAGCTATACAGCACTTACACGATAGAGGCTCAGATAGTGAGAGGAGAGGGAAGTGGGCTCTCGGAGAGCCCTCTGGAGGGAGGCGTCACCAGGGCTTGAAGTTTGGTAGATTGTTTGGGGAAGAAGAGAGCGAAGGAGGTGAAGGCCATCATGAGCAAAGACCGGAAGTGGAGATGAGCATGGCAGGTGCTGGGCACTGGCCTATTGGAAGTAAAAGCTACCTATTTGGGAGCAGAGAGAGGTGTCTTAGTTAACAGAGGGCTGGAAAGTTGAAGGCATCGATGCACAGAAAACAGGAAGTCATCGTGTGTTCTTGACAAGGATGGAATGTGATGCAGAAGGTGTTAAGGGAAGGTCATAGTTCTGAAGGAATGTGCAGGGTAGCCTTGGAGAGGGAGACAGTGAAACTAGAGGGACCAGGAGGAATGCTGTTGTGATAATACAGGTTTAGGGTGATGAGGATCTGAACTAGAGCAGAGCTTTGCAATCAGTCTGGGAGGTCATTTGGGGCTGGTGGGAGGGTAGGAGAAGAGGTAGATTTTTTTTTTCCCCCCCAGAGGTGTAGGAAGTAGAAATAGCAGAAGGAAAAACGGGAAAGTTTTGGTTTGGGATATCTTGATTTTTCAGTGATGGGACATCCAAATGGCGGTATTTTATTTTGTTTTATTTTAACAGCTTTATTGAAGTATAATTGATATATAATAAACTGCATATATTTAAAGTGACAATTGGATAAGTTTTGGCTTGTGTGTACACCTATGAAACCACCACCACAACAAGAGAGTGAACATGTCCATCACCCCAAAGGTTTCTCCTGTCCCTTTGTCACCTTCCTGTCCCTAAGTAACAACTGATCTGTAACTATAGATTAGTTTTACAGAAGCTGCTATAAATGAATTATGCAATACCTACTCTTTTTTGTCTTCTCTCATTTAGCATAATTATTTTAGGTTCGCCCATGCTGTTCCGTGGATCAGTAGTTCCTTCTTTTTGTTACTTACCTTCAGTCTGTCATACTGGTGGCAGTTTGTAGATCATTTGAAGTCGGGGATGGAGCCCAGGTGCTGTGTCAGGGTGTGACCTGGGTTGGCATCCGTTGTCTAGCGGAAGCTTTAAGACTAGCTTGAAGAGACAAGAGGTAGATGAGAAAAGGAAATGGGTAAAGAATTACCATTCTCTGTGAAAGGTAATTTCATACATCTTGAAAAAATGGTGAATTTCTTTTTCAGTGAGCTTTTGAAGAAAGCTTGGGTTTAAGAAAAGCATGTTTTGGAGTTTTAAAATTTTTATTTTTATTAGCATGCTTTTTCCACCAGTCTCATTCTAAAATAGGTCGTTAATGTCTTTTTTAGGCAACAGGAGAGAAATCCTTTTCTGTTCGTAATAATGATGGGGCAGTTTCATTTCAGGTATGTATTCTCTTTCAGTCAAGCTTCGTAGAATTTCTCTCTACCATGTAAAAGGGTGAATTTTTATAGAAATTTTGAATTTAGGAGTAGTAATTTAGGTATGCTATGTGTCAGTCACTTGAATACAGTAGCTCTCTCCATAACAAACCTACAAGGTGGGTATTGTTACCCACCACTTATCAAATCATAAATCTCTGAGAGAGAATAACTCAGAGTGCTATGTTCAGTGTGAGTGAGAAGGCCCGGATTCCAACCCAGTTCTCCCTGGCTGTCCCCACACCTCTGCCTCTCCAATCCCATGCTGCCTCCCATTCAGAGTGTGTCAGAAACACAAACTTCTGTACCTGAAAGGACCATTGTGATCTTTTAGGGTGATGTTGTCATTTCAGAGATGAGTTCACTGAGCCTTAGAGGCCTGAGTGAGCTGCTCAGCTGTCACCATTGTTAACAGCACATGAGTGTTTATGGCAGCATCACAGCCCGTGTGTGGGGTCCGGGGGAGGACACTGGACTGGATCTCAGAGCACATGTGCTAGCTGGTGACCTTGGACAGCTCACTCACCTTCTGAACCTCGCTCTTGAATGATCTGAAAATGGAAAATGAGGGCGCGTGTCTCATAGGGTTGTTGGGCGTATCATTCTTCAAAAATAAAAGTGCTTTGTAAAGCACTATACAAATAATCTTTTATCATTAATTTGTAAGGATCACTGTCTCTTTCCTAACCAGTTTTCATTAATTGAGGTATAATTTGCTTAGAGGGAAATGCCCAGGTCTTACGTGTATGGTTCAATCAATTCTGACAACTGCATGCACCCACATAACCCACTCTCAAGATTCTCTGTATTTTTACCATCTCCGAAAGTCCCCCACCCCTGCCTCTGCTATTCTGAGTTCTTTCACCATAGATTCTTTTGCCTATCTAACAATTTTTATATGTTCTTTTAAGTTTAGTGACCGTCGGTATTAACAGCTAACTGAGAGCTTTTGGGGTGCTCATCTGCTCTGAATCCTCAACAGCTTCCCTTCTGTCTCAGAGTAAAATCCCAAGTCCTTCCACGTGGTCTGCAAACCTACATGGTCCAGCTGCTGTCAACTTTTTTGCCTCAGCTCCTGTTTCCTCCCCACCCCCTGCTTATTACTCTCTTCCAGCTACACAGGCCACCTTGCTGCTCCTAGAAAAGATCAGGCCTTGGGCTTTGCTCTAGCTGTACCTGCTGGAGGGACATTCATCCCTCAGAATCTGTGTGATCAATTTCTTCCTCCTTCAAGTCTCTGCTCAAATGTCACCTTTTCAACAAAGCTTCCTCCAATCGCCCTGTTCTAAATGCAGCACCCCCCGCCCCACCCCTGGCTCTGTTTTTTCCCTTAGTGCTTCTTTCCAACATACGGTATACTTGTACTTATTTACTGTATTTATTATCTGTCTCTCCCTTTAGAAGGTAGCCATAAGGGCAGGGATTTCTATCTGCTTTTTTTTTGCATTATGCGGGCCTCTCACTGTTGTGGCCTCTCCCGTTGTGGAGCACAGGCCCCGGACGCGCAGGCTCAGCGGCCATGGCTCACGGGCCCAGCCGCTCTGCAGCATGCAGGATCCTCCCGGACCGGGGCACGAACCCGTGTCCCCTGCATCGGCAGGCGGACTCTCAACCGCTGTGCCACCAGGGAAGCCCTCTATCTGCTTTATTGCTGCTGTATATGAAATTCCTCATCTTGGGCCTGGCCCATAACAGGCTGCGCATTAGTCATTATGGAGATGAATGAGTGAGTCAAACATCGTGCTAAGTACTTACATGTCATCATTATCTCAGTTCATCCTCCCAACAGTCTGTGAATTAGGTACTGTTATTATTCTCCTTTTACAGATGAGGAAACTGAGGCTCAGAGAGGTTAAGTAACTTGCCCAATGGGAGGGTTCAAACCCAGGTTTGTCTGACTCCAAGGCCCATGTGTTTAATCACTTTGCTTTACTACCTTCTTAAGAAAATACAAAAGGTACTTTTCTGTCTTCTTTCCCTCACTTTAAAATGTTTGTTAATAAAATAAGTATTTTGAATGTTTCTTTTTTAAGTCACAAAAGGAAAGCATTTATAGGATACACATTTGTCAGTTACTAGTGCTTTGTGTCAAGGTGAGTACTAAGGGGAAAGCAGCATTTGTGGTGATTCAGAACAATTGCTTCAAACAGCCAGTTCATAGGGTTCTTGGGATGCATAGAACAGGCAGCACACAGAATGGGCAGCTCGCTTTCTCCCTGGCTTCCCCTCTCCTTGTAAAGAAGCCGGCAGGTGGCTCCTTAGTGTTCTGCTACCCAGTGTCCTCCCAGTTTTGGACAGTACAGTCATTCTGAGCTTTTCTGCTCCATCCACAGAGGAGGTCTGATAGTTTATCTACCTAGAGCTGGAAAGGGACTGTCAGGGCTTACCCCAACCCTAAAATTTTCATTTTTGCTTTATTTTGTTTTGTTTTTTTCCCTTCAAGTGTCAGATGTCTACTCTGATCCACCATGATGGTTCTATTGATTTTTTTTTTTTTTTTTTGCGGTTCGCGGGCCTTTCTCTGTTGTGGCCTCTCCTGTTGCGGAGCACAGGCTCTGGACGCGCAGGTTCAGCGGCCATGGCTCACGGGCCCAGCCACTCCGCGGCATGTGGGATCTTCCCGGACCGGGGCACGAACTTGTGTTCCCTGCATCGGCAGGTGGACTCTCAACCACTGTGCCACCAGGGAAGCCCCCTATTGATTTTTTTAAAAAATATTTTTTAGAAATTTCATGAGAGTCTTACTTTTGTAATTAAAATTACATGTTTAGAAAAGTTTTCTTTTTGTGGCTACCTTGGGTGGACGGGAATACATGCTCTCACTTTACAGTGCAGAGTTTGGGACATGGTTTAACGCTAATAATTTCAGCTTGAATAATTCTTGGTCTTTTCTTTTCGTCTTCTTGTGAGATGTCTCTTTCTTCCCCCCATTCTTTTACATTTTGAGGTATAGTGCCTACAGAACAGTGCATAGTACTTAGGTTGAGTGCAAGTAATTGTAAATAATCCCCTTTGTAACCATCACTTGGGACGAGAGCTAGAACAGCGCCAACACCCCAGAGCCCCCTTGTGGCCCTCGTGCTCCTCTCAACTCTAGAGTAGCCCCTGTCGTGAAAGATGTTATCATAACCATTTCCTCACTTTTCTTCATAGTTTACCACCTATATATGTAACCCTAGTCAGTGTATTTTAGGCTTTTAGTAAAATGTTCTCTGGAATTGATTAAAGTGTCACATTCTGTGATCTTTTTATATATATACATTTTTAAATTTACATTAAACTTCATTTGAATACATGAAATAATGTTGAAAGCAAAGAAAAATGTCTAAATGTAGAAAATGTAGCCTCTGTTACTGTTGTTTAAGATCATAGGGGTAAATTTTGATGAGGGAATACTGGTCCTTTACCTTTTCAAGTATCAGATGAACCTCCTTTCTTTCTCAGAAGTACTTTTTACCAAAGAGCAAAACAACAATATGTTGGCTTGAAAACTAGAAAACTGTATCTTAGGTTAGCTCTGCAGACTTCTGCAAAAACCCATCACTGATGGATAGATATGTGATAAAGCAAGTGTAGTAAATTGTTAATTGTAGGATCTAGGTAGGGGGTACATAGGTATAATTCTGGTAACCTTTCTGTTAGCTTGAAAATTGTTATAACAAAATATTAGGAGGGTATCACAGAATAAGAAAATGTCTGTTTAGACTCTGCTCTGGGAGAGTTTGATTATCTAAGTAAGCAGTCTGCTTTCTTCTGTTCATGGTATTCACAATTTATTTCTAAGATTTAAAAATTTAGCCGAGGATTTGGGTACCCTTAAATTTTTTTCTTCTTCACTTTCAGTTTTTCTTTAACATCAGCACTGAAGACCAAGAAGGCCTCTACAGTCTTTATTTTCATAAATGCCCTGGAAGTGAAGTACGGTCTAACGACAAGTTTTCATTCAGCCTCGATGTGAGTACCATACATAAACTCACATGTGGGTGTTGTCAGCCGTGTAAAATGGGAGACAGTTATTTCTTTAGGAGAGTAGTTTTAAGAACACTTAAGCCAGAGTAAGAGAAACATGTGGTCAAAATAACATTTCTGCCAGTGGGCAGGATACTTCAGCAGAGGGTTCATAAAAAAGAAAATATAAAGCAATTTAGGGTGTGTTTACGCTTTCAGCCTATGCATTAAGAATGTGGTTGTTATCTGCTGGTACTCACTTTCTTGAACTTCCATGAAACAGCTAAGATTCCAGATTGCTGAATATGGGATGATCTGTTTCTGAAAAGTAAATATTAATGTCATGTTGGTTTCAGATCGAGATCACAGAGAAGAATCCTGACAGCTACCTCTCAGCAGGAGAAATTCCTCTCCCCAAATTATACATTTCTATGGCCTTTTTCTTTTTGCTCTCTGGGACCATCTGGATTCACATCCTTCGAAAACGACGGTAAATTATCACCTCCTTGAGCCCTTCATCCAAGAGTGTTCGGGGATTTATATAATTTCACCTTTTGCTGTCTTCTGAACCTAGAGGACTTGGCACTAGCGATCCTGTTCTCTCCAAAGGGCATGTTCCCCGAAACAAAGGGAGACCGTGCAGGAGCCTTGCCGCCTGGGAGGCCTTTGCATGCCTTGGTGTTTGTTCACTTCCCATTGCTTTGTTTAAAAAGCAAATCCAAATATTTCAGTAATACACAAGCCAAATAAAATGTATAAGCAAAACATTTCCATAGCGAGGACACTGGAGTCCAGGACTCAGAGTGAACACATTGGTCCCATTCAGGGGCTCTTTGTTCTTAAAAGATGAGTGACGACAGCCCAGTGCCTGGTGGGAGCATGGAGTTGCTGCTGAGCACTGAAGGCCCCAGCGCAGAGCCTGGGCGGGGTAGATACTGACCTCCAGGGGATCATCACTCGAGAAAAGCTCTTCAGAGCCCACCTGCCTGACTCTTGGCCTTTCTTCTGAAATCCCTGAGGCTTTAACTTCCTGTTCTTGGTACTTGAGGGTAGCAGCAGCGTATGTATGCGGCTAGTGTTTGTGTCCCTCCCCCTAAATGGAAAACAATACTAATTTTCAGTTAGAAAATAGTGTGAAGTGTTTGTTATAGTGTAAGGCCCATGAACTGTGTAAGTGATGGTATGTGAATATGGTATTATAATATGGATTTAAATTCAGACAATAATTAAGCACCCCCAAGTACCAGATACCTCTTTCTCTGGAGCAGTGGGACAGATTGAGATCTCTTTAACCTCTGGTGGCCAGATTGTCTTCTAGTGGACATGTTCAGCTCGGGTACTGGGCCCTGCTGGATGTGGTTGCTGGTTCCTGTTTGTTATAAATCTTTTACATCCGCTGGATGGAACTGTGTCTTGTTTACTTGTGAAGAACCCGACATAATCATGTTTGGACTGGAGGTCAGGCAGCCATTAATAAGAAAAAAAGAATCCTACAAATTCAGGCCATAAAAGGTGGTTGGGGGGCGGTGTTTGGTTTGTTTTTTTTGTTTGTTTGTTTTTGCGGTACGCGGGCCTCTCACTGTTGTGGCCTCTCCCGCTGCGGAGCACAGTCTCCGCAGGCGCAGGCTCAGCGGCCATGGCTCACAGGCCCAGCCGCTCCGCGGCACGTGGGACCTTCCCGGACCGGGGCACGAACCCGCGTCCCCTGCATCGGCAGGCGGACTCTCAACCACTGCGCCACCAGGGAAGCCCTGCTTTGTTTCTTTTAAAGAAAGTTTTGCTTTTGCCATTATTAGAAAAGTAAGAACTAGGAGTCGGAGACCTGATTTCAGGTGTAAATGCTGTGACTCTTACTGCCTGTGTGCCTTCCTTCACTCTAAGCCTCTTTCTCCTCGGCTACAGAACTGGGACAGTCATAACTGCCCTGCCTTCCCCTCAAAGTCTTAGATCCTTAGTTTTCTTATGTGATTCCCCCTGAAATGATGTGTACGAGAGTGTTTTGCAGATCAGGGTGCTATGCAAAGATGAGGGACATACAAAATAGTTTAGCCAGACGTTCAGTGGTGTTTTAATTTCCTTTTAGTTAGCGATGCAGCAGTCATTGTCGCTGGTTCACTTATAAAATCGTGGCAGCAGCTTAAAATCTGTGATTAAACGAGGCTGACCTACTTTGTACAACGTATTTTAAACTTCTTGTTGAAGTATAGCGTATATACAGAAACGTATCATTTCAGCCCTCTGCCCCATCCCCGTGTTTTTTTTTTTTTTTTTTTTTGCGGTACGCAGGCCTCCCACTGCCGTGGCCTCTTTCTTTGCGGAGCACAGGCTCTGGACGCACAGGCCCAGCGGCCATGGCCCACGGGCCCAGCCGCTCCGCGGCACGTGGGATCCTCCCAGACTGGGGCACGAACCTGTGTCCCCTGCACCAGCAGGTGGACTCCCAACCACTGCGCCACCAGGGAAGCCCCCATCCCCGTGTTTTTCCAGGAGTCTCACAGACAGCCATGTGAGTCACGTCACAGATGTGACTCCAGGGCTGCCAGCACATTTCAGAGACTTGTAGCCCCTTAGTGCTGGAGGGAACTGAGAGATTTTTTGCCTCGTCTTATTGAGGCCTTGAGCGGGGAAGTGAGAGACATGGCTAGCATCCCCCAACAGAGCTGGCCCTGGGACCCAGAGTGGCTTGCTGTGCCTTTGTGGTTCTGTTGTGGGCCCCAGAGCACGGGGAAGTGGGAAGGGAACGCGGGCAGCTGATCGGTTTGGTACCTGCTCTCTGCCCAGCCAGGCACTGAATGTCATAGCTCCTTGAGGCCATTGTTGGCCCATTTTCAGCAGAGGTTTCTGAGGCCTAGAGAGATAAAGGTCGTCAGGGTGGAACCTGCACGTGAGCCAGGTCGATGTGGCTCCCGAGGTCTTTCCTTCATTCACATAACGGCCCAGCCATCAGTGCTGTAACTTGGACTGCGAGTCTTGGTGGCCAGGGTGTGTGGTGAGCACAGCCCTTGACGGTTCTGCACTCTGGGTAAATCTCATTACTATTCAGGAGGGACAGACTACTCTGGCCTTGACTCCCCTTTCGACCTTCAAGTAGGTAGGCACTGGAGCAGGAAAGTACCAGGGAGGAAACCAGTCCGGAAACTGGGTGTGCGTCAGCTCACGACACGCCCTCCTTATCGTTCTGTGCAAGGCCCTCTCCTGTTTTATTTCCTGTCCCCTCTCCTGTTCCTTCCTCGCACGGCCAGCCACTCAGATGCGTTTAGTATGTGTTTTGGGGATATTTGTGTATTCTTGTAAACAAATAATGTTTATTGGTATTGCATGTATTTTTTATATAAATTTATTTATTTAATTTATTTATTATTTTTGGCTGTGTTGGGTCTTCGTTGCAGCACGTGGGCTTTCTCTAGTTGCACCGAGCAGGGACTACTCTTTGTTGCAGTGCGCGGGCTTCTCACTGCGGTAGCTTCTCTCGTTGCAGAGCATAGGCTCTAGGTGCGCGGGCTTCAGTAGTTGTGGTGCACGGGCTTCAGTAGTTATGGCGCACAGGCTCTAGAGCGCAGGCTCAGTAGTTGTGGCACACGGGCTTAGTTGCTCCGTGGCATGTGGGATCTTCCTGGACCAGGGCTCGAACCCGTGTCCCCTGCATTGGCAGGCGGATTCTTAACCACTGTGCCACCAGGGAAGCCCTGCATGTATTTTTAATTTATATAAACTGTTCCATCTGTAGGTATTGTTTTTGTACATTTTTCACTCAGAATATCCTCTTTTAAGATCTAGTCACATGGCTGCGTGCACATCCAGTTCATCACTGTCCAGCTACTCCATGTCATCCACAGTGAGCGTCCCCATTCCACTCACCCACTCCCTTAATGGTGGACCCCTAGGTTGCCTTCATTTCCCTGCTTCCCCATACTGTCATGATCCACCCTCCTTCCTGTCCCCGGAGGGGTCTGCAGCCTCTGAAGTACATTCTCGGAAGGAGGTGCCCTGGGTGTCAGGGAGCTCTCCTTTAATTTCGCTAAGTGCCACTGGTTGCCCGCCAGGATGCGTGCCTGTGCCGGCTTATGCTCCTACTACACGTGTGCCAACACTGACACCTTATGTTTTGCCAGTGTGACGGGTATAAACTGGTACCTCATTTTCTTCTGCATTTCTCTGAATATCAGTGATATGAATTATCTTAGCAGAGACATGTTAACCTTCTGGGTTTTCCCTCTGTGACTGCCTGTATTTGCATATTTTTCTGTGGGATTTTCTGTGTTTTTCTTGTTGCTTTGCATAAGTTCCTCACACATTCGGATCTCAATCCCTTGCATGTCTTAGACATTGCGAATTTCTTCTCCCAGTTGAATTGTTGAGTAAAAATCTTTCATACTAATGGAGTCACAGCTCTCTAATTTTAGTCTTTTGAGCAGTGCTCCTTGGATCTTAAGAGGCCCATTCCCACTCCAAGATTACAAGATGTGTATTTTATGCTTAGCAGCAGACTCCACCTGGGTTGTAAGTAAGTGTGAAGCAGAGATCCAGCTTTCCTTATTTCTTATATAGGTTTGAGCTAATTTTTTCCCAATGTCAGTCATTAAGCAGGCTGTTCTTTTCCCACTGACTTGGTATCACCTTAGCTATCAAGCTTCTGTACACACACGAATCTATTTATAAGCCTTCTAGTCTGTTATGATGGTTTAGTTGTCTGATGCGACACCCATTTCCCATTTTTCACTGCTGTGGCTTTGCAGAATGTCTTGATATCCGAGAGTGGGAGTCCCCACTGTAGCTCTTACTCAAGTCTTTGTTTGCTTTCTTTAATAGAGTTTAAGACTTTTCTCCATCATGGTTTTGTTTGTCTTATTAGGTTAATTCCTAGGATGAGGAGGGAAGGGGTAGAGAGGAGTTGAATGCTTGGCAGCCTGAAGGTGGACTCGTGCCCGTAGCGGGAGGTGGGGCAGTGGGTGCTTTGCGCCACTGTCCTGGTATGTTTGGCAGGTTCCAGCTGTGAGGGGGGAGAGAGGGGCACAACCCCAGCGCTTTCTCTTTGACCAGCCCTGCTGCCTGGCTCCAAATCCTCCTCCCCTGGCTACAGATTTCCCCTGTAGCTGTACCTAACCACCTCTGCCTTCTTGGGGATTTCACGCCATTTTCATAGATCCATCTGCCTCATTCTTGCCTCTGCGGGCTTTCCAAGGTGGTTTCTGGAGAAGCAGCTGGCAGCCTGTTTAGATTTCCATCTTATCAGGCCTGGAAACCCATTGTGCATAACTCGGCTCCATTCACAGCATTGAATTATATAGTAGAGGTGACTTGGGACTCCATTCCAGGCCTTTTCTGCTGGCAGCAACCACTTGTTTAAAAAGCTTCATGTTTGTGGTTTGCTTAGATTATATTTACTGCCTCCTTATAAGTATATGATGCCTGGAGCGTCACCTGTTCTTTGGGAGTATGAAATATTCCTTTAATTCTTTTCTCTCTGTTTTTACATAGGAATGATGTATTTAAAATTCACTGGTTGATGGCCGCCCTTCCTTTCACCAAGTCTCTTTCCTTGGTGTTCCACGCAGTACGTATTAGTATTTTGGGGTCATTTATGAAATGATGTACAATGCCTATGCTGTCTGGAAAAATAAAGTAGAAGACAGGACACATCAAATAAGAGATGAAAGAATACCTTTGTCATGAAGCCTCCTTTGGTCTGGGAGGGACTGGTCACGGAGGTAAATCATCACAATCTCCCTAATACTAGACTTGAGATCTTCAGACGTTACCTTCAGGCTCAGAGTTTTCTCAGAACACTTGTTGGTGGGTTTTTTTGGGTTTTTTTTCCCAGTCATTTCTTGAGATTAGTGTGCCACCTGCTGAATTGTTTCCATGACTTCCTTTATTTTTCCACATATTCCCTCCAGTTCCCGTTTGATATGAAGTTCAGCGTTAGGATACTTATTTGAGAGAAAACTGATGCTCTAAAGGTTGAGGCGTAAGAATTGAGCTTAAGCTTTGAATATTTAGTACTGACGCAGATTGAAATGAGCCTGCCCATGGGAGTAAGACCACAGCTTCCCTGATTTGTAGGCCTACGAGGTATCCATGGGTTATGCGTGAGGGTGACAGTCTCCAGACATGTGCACAAGATCCTATTGCACTTAAAAATATTGTCACAGAAAAAGTAATAATATAGCCAGTTACAATCTCAAGAAATGACAGTTATTTGGATAATTTCCCATTTGGGTGTAAGGTAAAAGATTCTTTCTGGAACCATGTAGATAACGAATGATAAGGTTCTCGAGTCACTTTCATATCTAGACAGCCACGTGTGGGAGAATGAAAGATGTATAAAGAAACTGATGTCAGCTTTGGGAGTCCTGCCCGGAAGCATTTGGGCCACCACTGAAACTGGTCACTTTAGTTAAAATGCACTGGTGATTTCAGGTAGCTCTAAATTTACAGATTTTTTTCCAAAGATAACATAGTTGAAGCTAGGTGATCCCGTGTAGATTTTTTTACTGACTTTACTGACTGATTTATTATGTAAGCAGCAAGGCTATGAAAGGTAAAGCTCTTGACTGGGGCATTGAAAAGACCTGTGGCATTTGGAGGTCTTTTTTTTTTTATTTGTTTTTTGGTGGTTTTATACGTCATTTTATCTTATTTTATTTTACCTGGGCTACGGCAGTGAAAACCTGGAATCCTAACCACGAGGGAACTCCCTTGGAGATTTTAAAGAAAAGAATAGGCATCCATTTGCCAGAGTGAATCACCTGCCTCAAGAGAGGGGCCCTGGGACTTCCCTGGTGGCCCAGTGCTTAAGACTCTGAGCTTCAAGTCCTGGGGGTGCGGGTGCGATCTCTGGTCGGGGACTAAGATCCCACAGGCCGTGTGGCGCGGCCGGAAGGAGAGGGACCCGGACTAGGGAACCCTTGCGTCAAGTCCCTTGCCAGGACGCAGGTTCCCTGACATTTGTAGCGCGCTTACAGGCGTCACTGTGCATCAGCAAGCTCAGCATTGCGGACGGGCAGCGGGTGTCCCCCGTCCCCAGGGCCTCTGGTGGCATTTCCTGTTCTGCTGTGTGTGTAAGGCTTGCAGTAGATGATCTTCCTGAAATGCACTTGTTTGATTGCAGATCGACTACCACTATATCTCCTCCCAGGGCTTCCCGATCGAAGGGTGGGCTGTGGTGTACTACATCACTCACCTGTAAGTATGCAGAGCGACACAGGAAGCACCCATCCTGCCAAGTGGCTTGCCAGACAAGTTGAGGCAGCCGTGGTAGGACGAGACCTGCCCCGCGCTGACTGGCCCTGCCCTCCCAGGGCAGCCTGCCGGATTCCTGCCAGGCCTGAGGCGTGTGGCATGCAGTGGCTGTCCCGACCTGAGAGCTCGGGGCTGTCGACGTGCTCCTGCCGATCAGATAGTGGGGCGCATAGCTAGCTAGCGTGTGCCTGAAAGTGCTCCTCACTTCCGGTGAATTGCCTGAGTCTGGCCACCTGTCTTTTGCCGGCAGTGCGTGAAATCATAGGACGAGCTGTACACTCCAACTCTCAGAGTGAGACGCTAAAGAGACCCGTTGGTGTCTGTTCATTTTTTTCCCTTGCAGCTTGAAAGGGGCCCTGCTGTTCATCACCATCGCACTCATTGGCACCGGCTGGGCTTTCATTAAGCACATCCTTTCTGATAAAGACAAAAAGATCTTCATGATTGTCATCCCGCTTCAGGTAAAGGAACCCTAGTCCTGCTTGTCCTCGTTCTCTCTTGACACTTAGCTGGGCTCAGCTCCAGGCCTGCCTGGGAAGAGGGAGTCACTTCTGGAAACCCCCGCTTCTGCCTCTGGGGTTGGAGACTGGGCCTCTCTTTCTGAATTCTGACAGACCTGGACCTCAGGTCATTGCACTGGGGGTTGCTCCACCATCTACCGTCTTTAAGCCAGCATGTGAATAGGGAGCTGCTGAGAAATTAGGGAATCTGTTTGCCTTGTAACAAGATGGTCCTGTTAGCAAAGAAGCTTGGGTACACGGTGACTTGACCAACAAATTTTTTTTTCCCCCCGGCATGCCGCATGGCTTGCAGGATCTTAGTTCCCCACCCATGGCAGTGAAAGCGCAAAGTCCTAACCACTGGACCGCCAGGGAATTCCCAACAAATTATTTTAAAACTGAATGACATCAGTGAGTTTCCACACGGTAGAATATGAGACATTGGGGCAAACATTTATTAAATGCTTTATATGTTTGGGGCCCCGGACTGAGGCCAACTTTATAAAATTGTGAGCCCCTCAGGAGAGGAACCTTGTCTTATGTATAACAGTCTTATTGGATATAGAACCTGGACGTAAGGGACGCGTAATAAACAGAGAGGTCCTAGCAGAGATGCACAGCTCCTCAGCTCTGCTTGACCAGGGAGCTTCTATCTGATAAAGTTGTTCTCGTCAGCCAATCATTTTGGAGCACAGTGTAAGTGTGGCAGGTGAGGGTGGGAGAGGGACAACTTTCTGGGCACCCAGGTCGGCCTGCTCCACTCTGGTGATTAGCGGTTTGGCAATGCTTGCGGCAAAACCATCTTCACGGTCAATAATAAGGGGCACACACTAGTGCCAAGTGAATGGTACAGACCAGTTGCTGTAGGTTTCCAACGAGAGAGTATTCACCCCAGTTCGAATGATCTGGAAGAGCTCTATGGTGGAGATGAGCCTTGCCTAGGTTTTAAGGTAAGACACATGACGGAGGCAAACATGACACGACTGTCTGGTGTACAGGAGGTGCTGAGGCGCTGGGCAGGTCTTGGCTGTTGAGCCACTGGGGCCACTTCTCTGCCGGGCTGAGTTCTCCAGCCTGCCAAGGTCTCAGAGCTCGGAGGCGGTGAGCCGGGGTGCTCCTCCCCTGCCATCCTGCCCCGCCTCGCCTTCCCTCTAGGAGCCGCTGCCTTCCCCTCCAGTTTGACTCTTCCTCACATAGCCTAAACTGTGATATAAGGGACCATCTTCCCAGCTTCCCCCCTTTTGTTCCCCACAAGGTTACGTGGCAGGTCACTCGGAGGAAAGATGGCCATTTAAAAAACTAAATGTAAGGAAGTTACGAGTATTTAAATGTAAGGACTCGTCTGGGAAGTCCTTGAGCATCAGCCTTGGAAAGTTGAAACTGTTTCCTTTTGGTCACGGGGAGCCACTGTGCATTTCTGAGTAGGGAGTGATGATGTAAAAATGGAGTTTCGAGAACATTATTGGCGCTTGGTTCCACACCAGCACCTCTGGGAACATTTTGTCTGGTGTCAAGAGTGTGAACTAAGGACAAAATGGGCTTAAGCGTTTAAGCTGTTAGTTTCCCACTTTGTCTTCATGGACAGAGCCACGAATGCAGGTGTTTAGGTGGACTGGGCTGCAGGAGGGACCCAGAGGCTGGGTGTCGGTGGGAGACTGAAATTTCAAGCTAATTTTTGCATTTGTATTAAGTGAATTATGGCTTCAGTAATGATTTAACTGATAAGTCCTAGATGGAAAGAGAAACTACCCTTCCCAAGTCATTGCACGACAGGTTTCACATTTTTGTAGAAGTGTGGAGAATTCCCTTTAGAGCAGTGAAGCAGAGTATTTGGGACCATGGACTTCGCGTGGAGTACAGAGGTGGGATTCTGATCTCTGCTTTCATACCTAGTGATAATCTTCGAAAGAATATCTCATAAATTATGTCTCCCTTATGCTCAGTAGTGTCACAGTTTGTAAAATATTGCTCTCTCTGTTTAGCCAGCTGAGGGACTTTTCATAACATGCTAAGAGCTTAATGACAGGACCGAATGTACAAGGCACGTCCTTCACTTTGGAGATTGAAGCAGGCCGTGGACGCAGACGCACCTCAGTGTGGAGAACCAAGCCGCGTCCACTGTGGGGACGCCTCGGGCATCTTCTCTCTCTCTGCCTGGGTTCTCCGGCAGGGCCGCTTCAGGGTAGCCAGACTTCTTAATAAGACCGGGGCTCCAAAGGTGTGTGAGAGCCAGGCAGGGGCAGTGTCCTTTGTGTGACCTGCCTTGGAAGTGATATGTGTCAGTCACGGCCACCCTCTATTGGTCAGAGCAGTCGCAAGCTCGACGAGGCACAGAGACTACTTCTTGATTGGAGGGAAGCAATGTTCTGCAAGAGCACATGGACCTGGAAACCGCGCTGTGGTCCCAGGTTGGGGCCTCTAGGTCCCGGTGCTCCCCCACCCCCCCCGCCTCGGGGCTGCTCTTGTAAAGATCTGTCCATGCTTTGGGGCCTCAGCAACTTCTGTGTCCTGCAGGTCCTGGCAAACGTGGCCTATATCATCATAGAGTCCACCGAGGAGGGGACGACTGAGTATGGCTTGTGGAAGGATTCTCTGTTTCTGGTGGACCTGCTGTGCTGTGGAGCCATCCTCTTCCCGGTGGTATGGTGAGTGCCTGCGGGGAGGGAGGCCGCGTGTGCACCGTGGGCTTGTCTGTCCAGCCCGATGGCTGAACCCGCCGTTCCCAAACTGGTCAGAATCACACAGGGCATCTGTTTAAAAATGACAACTTCCTGGGCCCCAGACTCACCTGAATTAGTCTCCAGGGGCAGGACCTTGGAATTTGTGTCTCTTTCAGGTTCCCGGGTAGATTGTGATAGCGCTCATCTGGCACAGGCTTTTAGCAGTTCAGACACTAGAGAAGATTCTTGAGATGAGAACTTAGTAGCAACATAAAATAGCAGAATGAATTTAAAGGGAAGGGAGTTGAAGAAAGCCCATACACAGCCTCATCTTGCCAGATTGGGTAGAAAGTGCGGAAGTTTACTAACATAAAACCAGTGATAGTTCTCAGCTCATAAACATTGCAGGTACCTTCAGGATGGTTTGCTTCACTCCTGGAAGTGGCAGGCTTTAGATGCGTGTATGTGTCGTGCTTTGGTTGTGTGTGAAGACACATTAGTGCCAAGTCAGTGGTTGATGAGAAAGAATGTCCTCTTGAGATCTTATCAAAGTGAAGGAAATTCTTGCTTCAGTAGGAAGCACTTAGAGGAAGAAGGGCTAACAAAAGTCAAACACTCACCTTCATAATGACCTAGTTCTGTGGCCACTTGAAAGCAATCAGTTCTTTTAGAATAAAGTTTAAAAATACGGATGTACCTACCTTTTATTAGAAGTGAGGTGCTCCACTCTGCAGTGACTCAATATTTTTAGACTCCTGGGGTCGATCAGGTCATTCAGTTATTCTGATTATTTAGAACATGGTGCCAGTGGAGTGTAATCCTCATTCGGGCCAGTTGTTTAGATTCACTCTTAACCCTAACTCTGTCATGCATCACATGTGTACATGCATCAGTTCGGTAAATTGAGCAGACAGCTGCCAGCATAGGAGAGAGAGCACGAGTGAGTTTCTTAATCTCCACAACCTCCCCACATCCTGCCCAGGCTTCTGTAACAGGATGGCCAGCATTGTCTTCAGGTAGAAAGAGCATCTTATTAGGGAACAGAGCCTCAGCCCCCACTGCCACATTTGCACAGTAACATAGAAAGGACCTGGGGGATTGGGGAAGCCCCAGATGCACTCTGGAGCTACAAGGGGCCATCTCCTGCCCTTTGTTAATTACAGCACTAAGGAGCAGATGCCAGATGGCAAGATTCTTCAAGGTAAACACTCTGAAAATTGCTGTAAAATGAAAAACTCAAGTACTAGAGAGGTAATTTAAGAAACAGTATCAAAGTTTTTTTTAAACATTCAGATTCAGCCAGCTTTGGTTCACTGTCAGCTTTGTGCCACTTAATTTCACATGTTGCGCCATTCAGTTCTCACAGGTGGGCAAACTGCAGAGGTTTTAGGAGAAATGACTTACTTACAGTTGAGTAGAGAGTGGGCAGCTGTGCCAGGACTGCAGCCTGGGTCTGTGAGACCCCAGCCCTCCTCCCCCTGTGCCATGTCTGCTTGTGCTGTGCCCTTCCTCCCACACAGTCCTTCCCTCGGTGCCTGAGAACTCTGCCTAGACTGCTGGTCTACAGCTTCTTTAAGAACGTTCACGTTCCCCTGTCTGACTGGTAATTAGTTACCAGCACCTCACAGCCAGAAAAGATTCCCTGGAGGTTGGCATTTTTTCAGCAAAGTTAGAAATCTCAGGTCGATGAAGTATCGAGTTTGCATGAAGCCTTGTGCTCGCAGCTCCTAGACCTAGACTTCAGAAGTCGGCCTGTGACCTTCTTATAGGGTCCATTCTCTCCAGGTAGCAGGTGAACTCACTGAGGCTCCGTTGTCCTAGCTGTGTTGCGGCGGGGGCGTAGCTGTGGGACTGAGAGATTAGGTAGAAGATGAAGAGTGTTATTGTGTTTTGATCTTTCCCCTCACAGCCAGGTCTCTGCCAGGCTTTTTTGAGCCAGCAGAGGGCATCTTTAACCCTCAGGCTTGGGCGCCATACATGCTGAAGGGTTGATTATCAACAATCATGTTGTCTAGGGAGAGTGCTCTAAAATCATCTAGTCCAGCCTTTTAAGTTTATAATCGAGAAATTCAAGGCCTCAAGTTACTAGTGCTGAAAATAGAGAGGAATGCAAATTTGTTAGCTAACTTTTTTGTTCTCCAAATGTTTATTTTTAGGTCAATCAGGCATTTACAAGAAGCATCAGCAACAGATGGAAAAGGCAAGTTCCTTTTGGTGCTGGACAGCGTTCCCTAAAGCCACATGCCTGGGCACTGCTGAGGGTGGAGCAGGAAGGCCGGTGCTCAAGGGAGAGCCCTAGGGGCTTTGTAAGAGCAGCCCCGGGTTTGCCGGTGAGGCAGGTGGGGAGCATTACTGAGAGCGGTTGTGTAAGGCCTGGAGGTGACTGCTTATCACCACTCGTGAGTGTGATCTTCACCTTCTCAGAACTGAGTCAGGAGGAGAAAATGTTGTCTTGGAAGGACCAGATAACACTTCACTGTGAGAACAGGGGCTGTTATGGATTGGGAATGGCTATGTGTAAAGCATCCCTTCCTGCTGATTTAACACGCTTTCAAAATAGTTGTGTCAGTATTAATTCAAAAAGAGACTCATGCCAGAAAGAACCTCTGAAACTCTCTGATTTTTAAATGGTTGTGCCATTATAACCCTTTTGCATCTTCTTGATTTTCGAACCGTGCCTCCTGAGTCTGAAAAGAAACCACATAGAAAATGTTTTGCATTTCTGGGCTTATTTGAATAATGTCCATGACGACAGGCTGCCTTGGGCCACGCGGGGATTTCAGGCCACAGCTGGTTGAGGAGGCACGCTCTCTCAGAGGTCCCGTCTGCCTCTGGATCCATGAAATCCCACACCCAGTGCTGGTAGTAATGTTCTTTAAGGCAGATTATTCATTTGTTCTTGTTAAATAAAATTTTGTTGCTGACCTGTTTTCTGATTGTAAAAGTAATGTAGGTTCATTTTGGAAATTTTGGAAAATAGATAGTAGGTACAAATCTTCCTTCACATTTGCTATACAGTTAATATCACATGATTTTCTTTAAATTGAATTAACCTGACTTCAAGGCTTCATACCAGTGTCAGGCACGATCCCGGCGTTCTTATTGAGAGCACAGTACTCGCTGGGGTATCTCCAGTTTGGGGTCCACAGTAGTTGCTGTCGGGATTCCTGCTGTCTGGGTCCATGAAGTGCTCTTGCTGTGAGAAGCCTGGTGTGTGAGGGTCATGCCAGGCTGGGAGCCCCGGTACTCAGATTCCAGGCTCCCAAGGTGCCCCCTGCTTCCCAGGTGGCCATAAGGCCCCACTTGCAGAATGTGCCAACTCTCTTTCTAGTCCCAGGAAATAGCTTTTTTTTTCTCTCTCTCTCTCTTCCTTCAAAGGCCCTGGATTCCCTTCTCGCTCTGGAATGCCCTCTGGGTTAGATTCTTTTTTACTTTTTTTAAAAATTTATTTATTATTTATTTTTGGCTGCGTTGGGTCTTCACTGCTGCACGCAGGCTTTCTCTAGTTGCGGCGAGCAGGGGCTACTCTTCGTTGCGGTGTGCGGGCTCTGTATTGCTGTGGCTTCTCTTATTGCGGAGCACGGGCTCTAGGCGCTGCGCCTTCAGTAGTTGTGGCTCATGGGCCCTAGAGCACAGGCTCAGTAGTTGTGGCACACGGGCTTAGTTGCTCCGCGGCATGTGGGATCTTCCCGGACAAGGGCTCAAACCCATGTCCCCTGCATTGGCAGGCGGATTCTTAACCACTGTGCCACCAGGGAACTCCTGGGATAGATTCTTTTCAGTGAGTTTAAGCTGGAACGTGGTCTGCAGAAATCTTTTGCTTTTAGCCTGGCTTTCTGAGTCACGGATCTCAGAGAGCCGTTCTGCCTTGGAGTGTGGGATAAAGGAAAGCTGCAAAAAATAAACCATGAATTCGAATCTTGATAAAGCACGACGCTGCCACAAACAGAAAGTAAAAACCCACCTTCTGGGAACTTATTGTTTGGGCATGTTCTTGCCTTTTTTTTTTTTTTTCCTTCTTCTGTGCATGTTATATAAAAAGTTGGTTTTATTATTTCTGTAACTTAATGAGTAGGTCTTTCTCTTATTTGAATATATTGAAATGAAACATTTTAACTTTTTCATCTTTTTACACTTCAGTAGTTCTGGGTTCATTTTACTGACTGTTTGACTGAAAATGTTCAAAAATCCCAAGGGTAACGTTTTCCAGTTGATAAGTTTTATCTGTACTTTTCTTTTTTTTATTAATTAGTTTATTTGGCTGCATCAGGTCTTTGTTGCGGCGCATGGGTTTCTCTCTAGCTGTGGTGCGTGGGCTCCAGAGCACGCAGGCTCAGTAGTTGTGGTGTGCAGGCTTAGTTGTCCCACGGTAGTTGCGGCACATGGGCTCTCTAGTTGTGTCATGCGGGCTCAGTAGTTGCGGTGTGCGGGCTTAGTTGCCCTGCAGCATATGAGATCTTAGTTCCCCGACCAGGGATCGAACCCGCGTACGCTGCATTGGAAGGTAGATTCTTAACCGCTGGACCGCCAGAGAAGTCCTATCTGTACTTTTCTTCTTGGCCTCATCCTTACCCCTTTGTGAATTCCTCTATTCCTTCCTCACCACTCCCTTCTCCCCTTCTCCATTGTTCTGATCCTCTGACACCTCTCTGCCTTCTCCACTTTGCTTTTAGAGGGCTTGGGGGCGACTGTGGTAATTAACTGTCTCTGTGACCATTTATTCCATGAGACATTGATTGTTGTTTAGTAAAGTGTCCTGCCTGTGGTGGACAGCACAGCAAGTGAAGCCCAAGATGGGGGGGGTCACAGTTGTCCCCCAGCATCTGTAGTAAAGAGAAACTTTATGGAACAGGAACGCTTTTGTCACCCCCTGGGGCATACAAGGCAGTTTCTTGTTTTTTCCACCAGGTGACAGCATGGGACCTCTTCAGCAGAGAGCGAATATGAAAACCGGAAGTCCTGCAGGCACACCAGGGCTTTCGTTCCACCGTTCTCGGGGACATACCATTAAGAAAGCACCCATGTGTCGTCAGCAGATATGACAAGCCCCTGAAAGAGGGACAGAGTTGATTAGAATAGGGTGTCTTCTCGATTCGTGCTCTTTCACTGAACTGGTTTAGGCGGTGGGGTGCTTTGGAGCCAATCCACGAACGCATATTTCACTCTGAACTTTGAAGAGTGGTTATGCTTGTGACCCTTCCAGAACCAGGGCAGCCACGTCCCCACGGTTGAAGTCTCCCCCGCAGAGAACTCAGGGACAGCACGCTGTGCTGGCACACCATCCTCGGGCACGGCTGCTGAGCGGCCACGCCCTGCTCGGCTACCCCAGGACAGAGGTGAGGCAGCACGGGAGCCCTTGAGTGAGCGCACTGCCCACCGCCTGCTGGTCCTGGAGTGTTGCGGGTGACCCTCTCTGCTCCTCAGTTCTCCCGGCCTGAGATCTAGCCCATCCTGGAGGCAGCTGACAGAGCAAAGGCCGTGGGCAGTAAAGTCTCCTGCGGGATTTGGAAGCTTTTGGCTGGATGGTTTTTCTTCTTAGTCTCATTATTCCACTGACTCATTACATGACCTTGACCACGGCTTGGGCTTGAGAATGTCAGTTTAAGTGCAGTTGAGGCTGACTGATTGCAGGTGGGGAAGGGCTGTTTGCAGTTGTTCTCCCTGCACTTGGGATTCATATTGCTTTCTTTTCTTTTCTTTTTTTCTTTTTTCTTTTTTGATAGGTAAGAAGTGGATTTATTTAGAGAGAAACACACTCCACAGAGTGTGGGCCATCTCAGAAGGCGAGAGTGGCACCAGGGTACGGGGTTGTCAGTTTTTATAGGAGCGGATAATTTCATAGGTAATGAGTGGGAGGTGTGTTCCAGCTATTTGGGGGCAGGTAGCTTTCAAAGAATGTGGGTTTGGACTTGTTTACTTCTTTGTGTCTAGATTCCTTTTGACAGAAGCTGAGAAAGTATAAAGGAAAACATTAAGGGCGAAGCTGCCCACTGTCCTTAAGTCGTGTCTTTGTCTCTCCTGTCACACGTGGTGGCTTCTCTCAGGTGCTCTGTCATTTAGCGTCACTGCCGTGCCACTTTCTCTGAGAGGAGGCTTCGTTGAGTCTTCACAGGCACGCCCAGCTCTGCTGCGCTGTGTTTTGCCTTCCAGGAGTCACTGGCTGTTTCTGCCTTTGAGCCTGCACCCTTGTTCCCTTCTCTTCCTCCAGTGTCATTACCTCAGAGGACTGGATTGGGGAGACACACCATACATCTAACTAACAACCTCTGCTTCTGAGCATCTTCTTTTTTCCCCTTTTGTTTCTGAGGAAATTTCAGCGGAAGCCTTCTTCGGAATCTTAGCTTTCATGTGAGCTTCAAAAGCACTTAAACAAATGGTGATTGGCTCGTTGAAGAGGTTATGGAGGAAGGGCTTCATTCCCAGCTGCCGCTATGTTCTGAAAGTAGCTGTGGCCTTGAGAGGGCAGCCGTTCTCAAGAGGGTCCTCAGGATCAGAACTTTTTTCATAATAAGACTTTAGCAGCCTTCTTTGCTGTTGATGTTTGCACTGATGGTGCAAAAGCAGAGGTGGGTAAAACAGCTGGCGCCTTAGCATGATTCAGGACGGTAGCACCAAACTGTTAGTGGCCGCTGCATTCTTCATTACCATCTACTTCCTGGGGGTGAAAAAGGCTCACTTCACTTAAGAATGACCTTGATGAATTAGGAGAAAGTACTAATGTTATTCAGTCTCGACCCTTGAATATTTGTCTTTACCATCCTGTGTGGGATGGGACGTACCCAGGAAGCACTTGTGCATTGTACCGGGCTGTGGTGGTCATCTTGAGGAAAAGCGTGTGTGCAGTTGTTTGAGTTGTGAGGCGAACTCTCTGCTTTCTCTCGGGACACTGTTTTTATTTGAAAGAATGATGACAGTCGAACTGTGTTTACTCAGACCTGGGCTTTTGACAAACATTTTCCTGAAAATGAACGAAGTGAATGTGTCACTTCATGAAAACAATTAAAAATATTTGCTGTCAGTGATCTAATTTTCACTTGAAAGCACAGATTTTAATTTAGGAAAACTTATAATCTACCACTGTAAGCTCGACGGCTTCCCAGTTCTTAACAGACACCTGGTGTGAGCAGGGGTGATATTAAACAAATGTGACTTTAAAAATATTTTATGATACAAGTTTCAGTATTTCAGAGATCTGCTTAA